CCTTTTCTCTCTTTCTTTTACTCCTTTCCTTTTCGTTCATTAGTGTGATTCTGGTGCTTATCGCGCCCAGAAAACCTGTCTTTTGACGCCTTTTCACTCGAATAAATGCAAATTTCGTTAGGTTGGTTTTTAAAAATCGGCTAGACCTACATGATGTATATTCCTAAAGTTGGTAACAAAATGGCGGGGAATTCAAAACTAAAGGCTTAAAAATACAGGCTTGATAATTTTTTAAGCAAATGAGCCTCTCAAAAAATAATTCACATTTTATTATCTTGGGTGGTGCTTTTTGCAAAATTAATTATTTGTTACATCATAAATTGAAATTTAAGGCTTGCTGTTAATCGTGTGAGTCATTTCCCGCCAAAAAATGGGAAAAGATCGACAAACAACAAACATACAATTTCTACCATCCTGCAAACTTTGAAACCCAACGAATAAAAAAATCAGAAGTAGTTCCTAGAGTGCAGTTTATATACAATACTTCGTGGAAAAAGTGCGTTACGACGGTACTTACGCATGAGTTGCTGACGTATTAGAAATCACTAACGAGTGAGCGCAGCGAACAAGTAATTATAAGACCTCTGTGGATACAAAGACAAGGAATGCGTAAATACCGTACAAAACACTTTCCATGTGGTATCGTTGTTACATAAATACTAAGACATTCTTCATTCCGTCAGCCTTTTATTTTAAACATTTCCATGATAAATATTTGCCGCCACATATCATTCCTCTCGAAGCAAGGCGCCGACCTCCGCGGAGCGAATTTATTAATCTGTCGCGTATCGCGTGGATCACACAGTGAGGCAGAAGCTTGAGTTGGCAGTACATCTATTTAGTATATGCACTCGGACTATGACGTTATATTCACCGCGCTAGAGGGTGAATATAAAGCAAAATAAAATTGCTGTCGTGAACTGGGTGTTTTGCCAAGTTTCAGAGAAAGAACTTTTGAAAATACAAGAATATCCCAGTGTTGATGATTTTGAAGGTAAGAAAAGATCACGTGATTTATTGTGAGGTGTTTACTGTCAGTAGTTGACTTTCATACGCTCGAAGCAATGTTTTTTACCACTAAAACGAGGCCGCTTTGTCACTGTTTTGTAAACTCGGGATTTCCTCGCAAAACCAATTTTGTCTAGAAATAGAAGTTGATTTATGGAGAAAAAAAGGAAAGCAAATACTTTCGAAAACTGTACGTGCCAGCAAGTTAACATAGCAAAGAACACTGCAGATAAACAACGCTCACCTCGATCGGAGCCGCTGTTGACAGCGAATTTGCAAGAAGCGACCAAAAAACTTTCTCATTCAGGTTGAGTCATAGTTTGGTGTCGATCAAGCACCTATAAATTGGTTCTCGTCGTACTTAAGTGGTCGAACCCAAGGACTGTAATGTCAGTGGCAAACTATCAACTGCTCCAGTACCCTCAGCATCGTGCTGCAGGGCAGCATATTAGGTCCTTTGCTATTTTTAATTTACATTTAATGATCTCCCCAGTTCCCTGAGGGGCGCTGTACCAAGAATGTTAGCTAACGTCTTAGCAGATAACGTAAGCTAAAACGTTAATAGAACTACAACAGCTTTAACCCCTGAATAAAATAAACTTTTTTTAGCAGTTGGGTGAAAGCTAACAGGCTCAGTTTTAATGTTGCTAAAACAGAGCTAATGATTATTGGGTCAAGGCATAGACATTTGTCCAATGAGACGACGTAGAGATCAGAACTGATGAGCAAATTATCAATAGATTTGATCATACTAAATCCTTGGGTCTTACCACAGATGCTCAACTTTCTTGGGGTATACACGTTGAAGAGATTTGCCAAAAGTCTCTTAAGCTTTAGGCGCCCAAAAAACGTGTGCGGCCCCTTATATCGATAGAAGCTGCAATTCAAATTTAATTAATGCTTTAATTATGCCACATTTTGATTTCTGCAGCCACGCCTGCGACTGTTTGAGTGGTTGCTTGAATGAAAAATAAGCTCCATAAATTAAAGAATCGTGCAGTAAGAGTTATTACTAAAACCAGTCCTTCTCTCCACCCTCGACTGGGAGAGCCTTAACGATAAATAAAACCATGAATGACCTGGCTCCGGAGTCTTCAAAGTCTTTTAGGGGCACCTAACGACGGCTTCCCCCTAAATACCTTGAATACTCTTTAAGGCTATCCAGCAGGGTACTTTAGATCTCTAGAAATACACCATAAAATTTGTATCTGTTCGGTAATCCTGGGGGAATTTGAGTCTTTTGCCGAAAATTTTCGATACAATTTATTACGTTTTACGATTCAAAGTGAATGTTTTTCGTATTGTTCTCTCCGTCACCTTTTTTAAATCGGAAACTTTTAGGTTTCCATTTTTCTACGTAGATTAGCCCAACATAGGGAGTAAAATGTGAGACATTAAAGTTCAGGAAATCGTAGGGAATTTATTAGATAAGATTCGAAAATTGTACCTGAATGGAACGGTCATCTAGAAATTTTTAGCCGTACTCAAGCAATAGAAAATTCCAGGCAATATTTGCTTCCCGATTAGGTAATTTACAGAAAACACTCTTTGAATGCCACAGTGGTCTTTTCTCTCAGCGTCACTCTTCTTACAACTTAAGAAACTCTGAGGGAAAGATGACCCTTTCCAAACTAAGCACCACTTATTTGAAGCGAAGCTTCTCTTTCAGCGGGGCCATGTTATGAAATAACTTGCCCAAAAGCTTTGAAAATGCTGCATCTGTTGATCATTTTAAGAAGGTAACTGATATATCGGATTCCCACTCAGCAATCATGTAAAGCAGTTGTAATTAGTTTTTATAGTTTTTAACTTAGTTAACTGATGATTTTCCGTATAAAAATAAAGATTTACATACATGATACATATTAAATTTCGCTTTAATCCTGAGCTGTAAGTTCTTGAAACCGAACCCTGGGCCAGCTCAATCGCTAAGGAAAACAGACCAAAGTCAGTTGTGCAGTTTCTGTTTCTCGTAATCCAGACCTCGAAAAACCCAACTGTTGTACAATTGTTTTTAATGTCGTTCGCGGGTGGTCGTTGGCCTTAAACGGCACCTATCTATTGCTTTTCAGCGAATATTTAGTTATCATCATTGGACTCTTAGACCCTGTTTACATGGAGTGGGGGACCCCGTTCTAGTGGAGTAGGTTTCTTTTGTTTTGTGTCCCCCAGAGCGTGAAAACAAAAGAAACCAACCCCACTAGACCGGGGTCACCCACTCCATGTAAACAGGGTCTTAAAGGAGTTTTGTAACGCGGAAGATATTGCTGTTTCAAATAGGTCAAGTTTCAGGTGAATTCTCTTATTAACTAATTACAGTTAAAGCCTTTACACAAACACAACAAATTCCTGTTAAACCGAAATTTCATCAGGGAGTACTAACGATGATATTTTTTTGTGATTTTTCCAGGCATGGATTTTAAAACGTGAAAGGGTTGACCCTACTTTTTCAAGTTTCAATCCGTGTCCATCCGTGGCAACAGACTGTAGGAAACAGTTTCAAAGGCTAAATTTAGTCTTCAATTATAACAAAACTGAACCATTATTTTTAAGATTTACTTTAGCTTTTCTAAAACTGAAAGAGCTACGGTGTGAAGAAAGTAGAATCTAACAAGAAACAATGTTAATTTTAGCACTTGCAACCTCCTCATCCGCGACCGTTGCTTAGAAAATAATTGCCTTTTTGATGAATGAGAGAGTCATAACAAGAAAAAAAGAAAAAAAAACGAATTAATTTACATTCCTGACACGGTGCAGAGAAGTGCAAAGTGAAATTTGTTTGTAAAGGAAATATATACTTCATTTGGATGATCTACCAATAGGGGGAACGTTTAAATCGGACAAGTGAGGCCGTACAGCATTTCTTCGACGGCGGTTGATTATTCATTCGTAAAGAGGTTACGCCATGAATTCAAGCACAATTGAAAAATTTGAAGTGAAACTCCAAGATGTCAACAAAGTGTTTTGTCCAGGCGATACCATCTACGGTCAAGTAAACTTAAAGGTAAAGGAGGATTTGAAAATCAAGGAAATGCGACTGGAATGTCGCGGCGAAGCGTATGTAAATTGGCCTGAATATTCTGGGAGTTACACCAGATACCACTATAACAGAGAGAGATACTTCAACGCAATAGAGGTTATTTTTGGAGAAGGTAAGCTGATTTACTTCCAATATTTTTGTGATTTGTCGTTCGGCGGTGGTCATATGATACTGGCTTGACCAAACTAAAATGCGGTCAGGTTAGACTCTGATTATCTTGGGAAACGGTCCTTCGAATTCTATTGGTGATTGCAATATGGTTCCAGCTGTAACTGTGAAGCCAAGCGAGACTTAAAAGATCATATCAATATTGTGTACAAAGTTTTACCCCTCTTTGCGATCTGCAAACATTGTAAGAATATCCCATCAATCGCTCTGAAATTGTAATTATTTGGAGTGGTCAGTATTGGAGAAGCAGAATGAAACGTTCCTTAATTATCAGTATAAGATAGCATGACACAAGAAACTTAAAACGGGGGAAATATAGCTAGGTAATTAACGAAAACACGTCCACAAGTCCATGGGGTACTAGCCTAAGTCTGTTATCAACTAAGACGGCAGTCATGAATATTTTATGACAAAACTCTTAGCTGAGGTTTTGACAGAACTTCTGACGACGGAACTAAAGTGGCAATATTACCAGATAATACCAGTTCAAATCATTGTGAAGCGACCATTAAGCGTTGAGCATTAAGTTTTCCTTTTTTCTCTTAATTACTTGCCGATCCAGTGCGATGTATTCATCGTTGCACCAATTGACTACTATAGAAAATACCATAAGATAACATAATGTTCTTTGTTTGTCCCTCCAAAATTTTGCATAACCATTGTTTTCAGTTTCTCTTGGGGCCATTTTAACTCCCAAGAGAAACTGACGACAATGCTATATGCAAAATTTTGGGGTGACAAACAAAGATCATTATGGTATGTTATGGCATTTTCTGTAGTGGTC